CTATGTGTTCATTCTTTGGAGAGGTGTTATTTATATATATATATATATATATAGATTGAACATTGAAATGTTTCACTCTGAGGCAATAAAAATTTCATGATTTTTATCGTATGAAAACAGCCTTTGCCTCTGAGTGTTTAGCGTCAATGTTCACTTTTATATTTATATATATTTACATATGCTCTAGCTCTGATATTGAGCACTTTATCCCATAAATATAGCACACCTTAAAACTATATTTCTTCATATATATATATATATATATATATATATATATATAAGCTGGAGATTCTCTTCTTGGTTTCAGTGCTGTTGAGCTGAGCCATATCTTTTTTCTAAAATCATTGCTGCCATTAATTTTTAAAATAAATCAGAAAACTTCATCTTACTTTTTAGTTTTTTGACCTCATTCTAGAAAATAAGGTGTTATATATATATATATATATATATATATATATATATATATATGGGTAGCAACCTTTCCTTTAAACATCTTTCATTAAATATGACAGACAAGGAAAATTTAATTAGTTTTCTATTTAGTTTTTCCAGTGTTCTTACATTTTTCCATTTGGTAGAAGTAAGGGGGTACAAAAATTGTCCATATTGTCCCAAACGCTTTTGGTCACTTCTTTATCCATTTTCAAGGGGATTTGTTTTAGGTGTTGTCAATTTCTCTTCATGTTTTGACTGTTTAAGATGTATTTAATTTTTGTGTTGTTTTGAATACTAATAGGAGTGTTTAATCTGAGCCTTCACATGTAGTGCACAGCTTGAATTCAAGAGAGAGAGCATCTTTCAAAACTTTCAACACTCTATTTCCACTATTAAATAAGGTGAGGTTGATAGTGGGAGAGTGATGTTTAATATATAGGGCTTCTCTTACAGTGGGAGTTTTCTAGTAATGTGATTTAAATAAAATTTTAGTGTTTTCAAACCAGAATTTTTTTTCTCAAAGGCTCTTGTAAATTGTGGGTAGATAGATGTTTTTTATAGCATTTCGATCTGATAAATGACATGTAAGTTGTCTATTCAAGTAGGTGGTAGTATGTCTAATATAGGTAATTGATTTTTAGCAAGAAACACAGTCTTGTACTGGGCAGTGAAATTGATTCACTATAATGGTCATGATGATATATATATATTGTGTATTTGGGTAGCAAACGTCTTTTTAAATGTTTCATTGAATGTAACAGACAAAGAAAACCTTTTAAACTTTTGCTCTCATCTTACTTGATTATTTTGTTATTTTTGTTCCTCTGATGCCAGTTATTTTTCATTACTGCTAAACTGATGATTTACGACCAGACCCAGGGACTGTCTATAATCATCTCCTATATTCACTACGCTACTGTAGTATGTCTTGATTGGAAGTGCACCATCATCAAACTACTGTCCTCTAAACTGTCTTATATATTTCCAAAAGTTAGAAATCCACCACAAAAGTTAACCAACTCTTAGAAGTATTCAATTCAATATCCCTTCTCAAAATCTTCAAGGTATCTTGGAGAGATAGAATCAGGAACAAGGAAGTGCTAAGACGTACAAATTATAGAAATCTTAGTGTAACGGTAGCTGATAGGCAGATACAGTTCACCGGCCTTATCCTGTGAATAGTTGGCAGTCAGACAGCCAAAGTTGCTCTAAACTGAATACCTCAAGTCTGCTAAAAAGACCAAGGGGTCAATCTAAAATGACATGGTGCAATGCAGTTAAAGAGGAGCTGAGAAAAAGTAACACTAACTGGTTCCAAGATCAATCAGAGTAGAGGAAAATTATGTGATGGATGGAGGAACAACGTAGCAAGGTTGCTATCCACTCTTTCTACCACATTGATATTAAGTTACAATGATTTACTGTTTCACTTTTGAGATCAGTAATTGTCAATATTCTTGTAGTAATGGCATATCAACTCCTTATGGGTCATTAAATGTCAAAATTTAATTTTCTTGGGAGATTTTCTAGGTACTGACCAGACTTGATGTTGCTTAGCTTCGCTGGTTGTACAGAAACTAGTGTTTCAACATGATGTAGTCGTAACTCGCTCTCTTGTCCAGGACACACCACTGCAACTATGGCTGCAGTACATGTGGTGTGCTTGTGTCCACAATTGCTTATGGGTCTTGTGTCATTATATGACATCACTGTATATATATTTTCTAGTAGAAATACTCTCATATTGCGACTTTCATGTGGATGTCATGCATAGCACCAAAACCATTCAGAAATATTTAAGCTTTCAGCTGTATACAACTGCTTTCTCAAATCAATGATTAAAAATTGCTTTGAGCTAATGAAGCACATAGCTCTTAGAGAAGACCATCCTTATTTGATTTATTTGTTTAAGGGAATATCAACTCCTTTCTGGGTCATTTAATACCAAAATTTAATTTTCTTGGGAGCTTTGAAGTAATAAAAATATGATATATGTTATTCTGCTTTCACAAGTGGATACATGGTAGATGATACTCAGATTTTGTGCATATATATGTTTGTGTGGATATAATTACTAGAGGCAGTGATATATATATTTTATGTAGTGGTTTTGATGAAATTATATTTTGGAATACAGTGATTTCTTTAAGAAATTCTAGGATATTATATGGATTAATGTCATGAAAGAGTTCTTTCAGGTTGGTTGTTTGGTTGATTTTGTTTAGCGGCATATCAACTCTTTATGGGTCATTCAATGCTGAAATTTAATTTTCTTGGGAGCCTTGAAGTATGATATATGTTATTCTGCTTTCACAAGTGAATAGATAGTAGGTGATACTCAGCATTTGTGCATATCCATGTTTGTGTGGACATAATTACTAGAGGCAGTGATATGTGTGTTTTATCTTGTGGATTTGTTGAAGTTATATTTTGGAATACAGTTTGATTAAAGAATTATTAGGATATTATATGGATTAATATTATGGAAGAGTTGTTTCCTGTTGGTTGGTTGATTTTGTTCAGTGGTAGATCAACTTCTATGGATTATTTTATGCCAAAATCTAAATATTTTGAATACGATTTCATAACTTCATCTAAATATATTTTGAATGCAATAGTAAACCTTCAAATACAGATAAAATGTATTGTTGATCATTTTACTATAAATATGTATTGTTGATCATTTTACTATAAATATGTATTGTTGATCATTTTACTATAAATATGTATTGTTGATCATTTTACTATAAATATGTATTGTTGATCATTTTACTATAAATATGTATTGATGGTATTTTACTATAAATATGTATTGATGGTATTTTACTATAAATATGTATTGATGGTATTTTACAGTATGAAAGTATAAAAATACATTTTTATACTTTCATTGTATTTTGCTTGGGGGCTCACAATTTGCCCATAGCTGGAATCCTAGCAGGTACTACCACCCTGGGTCAAGGTGAACGTGGAAACAACAGCAATTAGAGGTTATTCCACACTCATTAAACCCTCCCAATCAGAGGCCTTGCTGATGCATGTAGTTTATTGTCATACCCAGGATGCAAGTAAGATGCTGAAAAACAGAAAGATTTCATTAGAAACAAAGAAAAGAATGCTGGATTACTATATAGTATCCATCTTCTTATATGACAGTGAATGTTGAACAATTTTTTCACAGTGGATTAAAAAAAAAAAAGCTAGAGGCAGCCAAGATGTGGTTTCAAAGACGGATACTGAATTTAGATTGTAAGAATTTCTTTTTTTTAGATAATAATGTTTTCAGTGACACAAGTCTTACTAATTAATCCATATCTAGGCAAGAAGAGATGTATTCATAGCTTTCCCAAGGTTATTTGCAAGTAAGTAAATATAACAAAACCAACTGGAATTGAAATTCTACTCTCTGATTAACAATAACAAGCAATTATCCATTACACCACCCACACATCCAAGCTTACAGTAGCTGATATTCCCAAGCTGTTACTCATCAAGGTACTGACCAGGCTCAGTGCTGCTTAACTTCAGCAATCATACAGGAACTGGTGTTGGAATATGTTGTGGTCATAAGTCTACAAAACCAAAGAGGGACCAGCTGAGAATTCACAATCGTGAGTCCCATGAGCAAGTACAGTCATAAGTGCACCAAATGTACTGCATGCTTAGCAGCAGTGAATGTGTCTAGGCCAAGATAACCTGACGGAGTCCATCCCTCTTCAGGCTGGTTAAGAGTTCTCCTCCTCCTAAACTGGTTGCTGTACAAGACTAAAGAACCTGCCTCACTATTTAATCTATAGCCAAGGGAGAGAGGAGACAGATTTACATTTTCCTCATGAGTGATTAGGGTCATAGGTGCACCACATGTACACCACCATTAGCAAGCGGTCGATAACCTGACAGAGCCCATCCCTCTTCAGGCTGGTTTTTCTTCTTCTCCTAAACTGGTTGCTGCACAAGGCTAAAGAACCCAAACTGCCTCACTCTTTAACTTATAGCTGAGAGTGGTGACGCGATGAAGTTCTGCCTTTTCCAAGGGCATTTGTGTAAAATTGGCAAGCCTCGAATTTAAACTTGGTTTCCCTTTCAACACTGATATTTTGTTGCATTACCCATACATCCACAAGCCAATATGAAGGAAGGTATGTAGCGGAAAAATTCATCCAGCTCATTTCTTTCTTCATTTGTGAACTTATTAACCTCCAATATCATCTCATTGCATCAAAATTTAAATATATTTACAAATTTTTCATGGGATTATTTTGTTGCAATATGAAATTATATTACTTTTGATTGACGGATTCATTTTTTTTTTACAGCTTATCAACCCTTTACAGGTTATTTAAAGCCAGAAAATATTTTTAGGTTGTAAGAATTTTTTTTTTGAGATAATAATGGTTTAATGATACAACTTTTACTAATTAAGCCATAGTAGGGTGAGAAGAGGTGGATCAATACCTGTCGCAAATGTATCTGAGCATAAATGAGCATAATGAATTCAACTGGAATTCGGTTCTCTGATTAACAATTCTGAGCCATTATCTATTACACCACCCGCACATTCAATCATACAGCACATGGTATTCCTAAGTGGTTACCCAACTAGGTACTGACCAGGTTTGATGTAGCTTAACTTTGGTGACCATATGGGAACCGTTGTTTCAACATGATATGGCCATAAGCCAAATTATATTGCATTTCAGAAGCTATTTTATGTTTTTATTTCTGATACAAAATTTTTTTTAAATCATAAGATAGGTTTGTTCTTTTTTTAAATTGTTTATTTTTGTTTGACAAATTTTAAAACTTATAGTTACAAATGTTGAATCATGTTTCAGTTTTTACATATCAAAAGAAGCGTGTACTCAAAATATGAAGTTAGGAAAAGAAATCTAAAGAAAGTAATTTAGAATTCAGAATGCAGTATTTGTTCTGAATGTTAAAAGTGAAAATGCTCCCATTTGATTTTTCCACTTGTTGGTTTATGGTTCTCTTGTGATGAATTTCCTAAGAGAATATAATTAGCTTTGGTTAGTGAATTTGACTGTTTAGGGTTAATGTTGAAATCTTTTTTTTCTCTCTTTAATTATATTCTGTAAGCATATAATTGGTTCAAGAACATGTACATATTGGTCATTTATATTTGAGTCTATAAGCATTTGCCTGGTTTGGGCATAGGTAAATATTGTTTGCTTATATTTGAGTTTATATGCATTTATTTGATTCAGGTATAGGTAAATATTGTTCATTTATATGAGTCTGTAAGCATTTATTTGGTTCGGGCATAGGTAAATATTGTTCATTTATATTTGAGTCTATAAGCATTTACCTGGTCTGGGCATAGGTAAATATTGTTTGCTTATATTTGAGTTTATATGCATTTATTTGATTCAGGTATAGGTAAATATTGTTCATTTATATCTGAATCTGTTAGCATTTACTTGGTTCGGGCATAGGTAAGTATTGGTTGTTTTTATTGAACTCTCCCCAGGGTGAAATTTTTTTTATTGAACTCTCCCTAGGGTGAAATTTTTTGATGAACTTTTCTCATAGGGAACTCTCCCCGTGGCAAAATTTTCTCATGGTGAACTCCCCCCCCAGGTGAAATTTTCTCACAGTGAACTTTCCTCACAATATAGTTTCCTCTGAGGTGAACTTTTCTCACTGTGAACTGTCCTGTGGTGAATTGATGGCGATGAACTTACCAGACACATGTTTATATTAATTTTAGCTCAGAGTTTTGCTTTAGTTATCAACTAGTAACGGTTCAATTAGGGTTAACTCTGGGTTCATATTAAGATTATGTGCATTATCTAATTGGAGATGCATTATTTTTTTTCCATACTCTTGATGAATTAATTAATGTTTATCACAACTTTGGCGTTGACTGATAAGAAACAATAAATCACTAACCCTGATCTTTTTCTGGCAACTTCAAATCACTAACCCTGATCTTTTTCCGGCAACTTCAGGATCTCGCCATTTCCATAGAAAGTGCTCAGACGAACTACATTCCTTAGTTCCAATCTTCATGGCTAAGACCTGCCAAGCCATGCACATTATAACACCCCCCATTCACTTTGTATTCCTTTAGTGAACAGCTTCTTCCCACAAACCACTACTTTGTGGTACCGACTCCCAAGAGGATGCTTCTCTGATCAGTACAATCTTAACCTGTTTAAGTCTAGGGTTAACCATTATCTTCCCCATACATCCCTATAAACTGTTCCCCTTATCTGTAACTCTTTACCTCGAGTGACTCTTGGGCCTTGCACAGGGTGAACATTATTGCAAAAAAAAAAAAAAAAAAAAAAAAAATCTTGTCTCAACAAAATAGCCCTTCTTTCATTTCTCAAATAAATAAAAATACAAATTTCAATGAGTATCTCTTTGTATTTAGGTTTTTCTTTTTAAAACCCATATTGTCTGTGATGTGAAAATGAAGCCATGAGACTTATCAACTGAGTACTTGTGAGAAAGCCTTAGTCCTCTACTTGACCATTCAACTATACATCGTGCATATACAAGCCACATGGACGGGAGCAGTTAACTTAAAATAGAGCAAATTAGTGCTTGAACCTTCCATCAACCTTAAAAGTCTAAACCTTTTGAACATTGATTGAACCAGTCCTACTGTATGGATCAGAAACTTGGACATTATCTGTTCGTCTTGAAAGATGACTGGATAAAACATATACAAATCTCCTTAGAAAAATCCAGAACATCAGTTGGAGATCCCATGCAATGCTTAACACAATTTACAGAGAACTGAGACCAATCTCTCTTAAGCTCAAACAAAAATGATTAAAGTTTGCCGGCCACATCCATCAAGCAGACGGAGAAATCATCTCATCCTTACTCCTATGGCATCCTTCTGTGAATGTTTTCTCATGAAAATTGACTTTCCCCAGACACCATAGCTAGGGACTCAGGGTTGGATATTGGAGATCTGGGGACAGCAATACACGACTGAATAGTGTGGAAAGGGATTGTCAAGGGAGGTTGAAGGATGATGATGATGATGATGAACTTAAAATATATTGATATAAAGAACTGGGATATTTTGTGAAAAAAAACAAACAAAACAAAACTTGTATCACTGTATCATCTTCAAAATTTACTAAAAACATTTTAAAATAAATGGAAAAAAAACGCTTAATTATTTAGAATATACAAGCGTTTTTTTTTGTTTTTTTTTATTTTACATATTATTATGAATTAAAAAGTATTTTTTTTTTAGTATTTCTTTTCTTTAGAGTTCGTTACGTTCAACGTCTTTGGGGTGGGAAAAAAGAAAAAGAAAGCGTTTGATTTTTAAAAAATCTTTTTCCTATAAAAAAAAAAAAAAAAAAAAATTAAATTAAAAATACATAAATTCTGATTTAATATTTTTTTTAGTCCTTATGACTTTTTTCTCAATAAATTCTGGTGAATTTTTTAAATAGAAAAGTTAGGAGTTAAGTTTTATTTTTATTTTTTTAACCCACACTTTTTCAGATTAAAAAATTTATTTTTTTATAAAGTCTTAACGAGCATCACCAATCAGACAAATAGATTTTTTAATTTAACAAAAAAAAAACTTACGATTTTTAATTTAGTTATTTATCCATGTTTCCAAAATATGACAAGGTCGTGTTTAATATGGAATTTCGGACAACTGTACAAAAAATTGCTCATGACTCCTAGACTTCCCCATTTTGGGAGTATCACAGGCACCGGCTAATGACCCCCCCCCCTCCACCACCACCGGAGAAGAACTATCTGGGGAGGTGCCCTCTCTTCTGGGCAGGGTTGGATTTGGGCCAAAGGAAGCCCACAGGCTAATCTGGGAGTCCCTTCCTTACGTGTTTATCTTCGTGTTAATAATAAAATCTAAATGGGGCCTCTTCAAATTTAAAACTAAAAGGGTAGCCCCAAAATCTGAATTGTTTCAAATTAGTCAAAGGAGCCCCATTAAATCTGAAAATAAACAATTTCCTCCGTTTTATACATTTTTTATATTTTTTCTTTACGTTTTTTTTTTTTTTTTTTTTTATTAGAGGCACAAGACGAGAATGCCCGTGGTGCGGGGGGTACCCAGCGACGTGGTGTAAATGAAATGATTTGATTAGGAAGCTTGTCTCGCTAACAATGACTGAGCAACGAGTTCGATTCTCGTTGTAATGTAACCAGATACTTTCGGCCTTGTGCCACACCTAAGCTACGCTTAGAAAATCATACTACCCTGTACATAAATCCGCTACTGCCTCTGGAGTTTGAGCCTGTCAGTAAGTAATTAGATAATTTTCTTTTAACTCACGATATGGCCAATAAAATACATAAAAAAACATATTTTTTTATTTTTACTGTGATTGCTGATGCAGATTTGACAACTCCAAAATTATTGATTGCGGAGGGAAGGGGTTATTTATTTAAAAAAAAAATTTTGGTAAGGAAATTCTCCAGCCCGGTTTAACCACAATTTCTGACCTTTGCCCTAACGTTGTGCCGTACAAGCAAATGCAAGTCACGTGGTTATAAAAAAAAAATCGTGTAGCCTCGCCGTGAAGTAATTTTTTTTCCTACTGTCGCGAGTTCGATTCTCACTGATTCTTCCACATGTGCTTAACCGAGCGACGTACTTATCTAAACTTGGTAAACATTTAAAATAAATAAATAAACACAGTAAGTAAAAGATTTAAGACAGCGGCACAATGACAAAAAAAACCCCCAAAAAACAGGACAGTGGGCTCCAAGAAAAGCCAAAAAAAAAAAGTGGGGGTAAAACACTTACCGCTCTTATATGAGGATGTCTGTCTTTGTTCTTTGACCCATAAACATTTGTAGGGCTTGCTAAAGGGGTTTTAAGTGAAGGCAACGTCATACCATTACCTGTGGTAGCAACAGCGTCAAGCATTATTTTTAAATTAATAAAAACAGTTTTCAAAACTGCAGCAAAGCTGGTCTGCGGTAACCATAGCGACGGGGTCAGGGGTCAAAAGGCGGAGGTCACGACGCAGTCGTACATTTTAATTCATGCCGACGTGTATCAGACAAGGAAGGAGGAGAAGGAGTGAATAAAAAAATATATACAAATAATCTCGTCTGTAAAATAAATATATATTTAAAAAAAATATAACAAAAGCTATAATGGTCGATATAAATGATTTACAGCATAATTAAAATATTTTTTAAAAATCATTTACAACACTCCAAAAATCCATCGGGTGTTTTAAAAATCTGTTGCATTTGGGGTGGGGGGCTTGTTGCTGTAAAATCCAATCTTGAATGCGTCACAAATTATATATTAATGCCGTCATCTTTTAAAAAGAAATAATTCCTTAATTAAAGCCTGGAGCAACTATTTTTTTCTAATTAAAGAAAATTAAAAAGAAAGTCTTTGTGTGTGTTTTTAAAAAGAATAATTTTTGATTTGACGTTTATGACGTAATGCTTCTTTGGGGTTGCCGACGTCTAACCAAGGTTGGCTCGCCTGATTCCCTCCGTCGTATTTAGTGCGTACATATAATAGCAACCCACGACTTCGAATAAACACGGTATCTTTAACCCTAATGCTATTTTGCCAGTGCTTGTCGGTATAAAACTCCTCTTACTAATTTTTTTTCACCCGCTTGTAAATTACAAAAAAAAAAATAATACTTACCCTCCCCTTAAAAAAAAATGAAATAATTTTTCTTATATCTAAAAAAAACAAAAAAAACGCCCTTTTTTCTTTCTAGACTGACACAGATTAAATTAAATATTGATTCAATATGCAACATTTTCTACAGCCTGTTATTTTTGGTTTTCTTCAATGCAATGCTGAAAAAAAGGGGGACTGGACAACTGTACATTGCACAATGAAATGATGACACCAACTGTTAAGAAAGAAATTGCTTAACTTCCTTTCCTAAAAAAAAAAAAAAAAAAGCTAATTTCTTTGAGCATCAAAACAAAACTTTTATTTATTTACTGTTAGATATTAATTACTTATTTTTTTCTAAAAAAGAAAAAAAATTCAATATTTTTATTGTCATTATTTTTTGTTTTTATAATAATGATTTTTTTAAATCCCCCCCTCCACCATAAAGGCAGACCGCATTACTCCTATTCTCGCCTAGTCATCCGGGCACTTTGCTCGGCGCATGAATCTCGAGTTGATTGACGACTGTGAAGGAAAAGTAGTTCCCAACGCCAGGTCGAGAGGGTGGTACTACTATTACGACTACGACTGCGTACATTATAGGCCTTTGCAGTTTGTTGGTCGGTATAGGGGACATTTACCATCGGAAAAAAGCCTCATAAGGGAACTAAAACAGGTAAGAAGACGTTAGGATAATGTACCAGAAGAGAAACACCAAAATTATGTCACAAATTTGAGTGAAAACGCCACCCTTTTGTGATGGTGGTTGTGGTGTAATAGTGGTAGTAATACCTCGCCTACATGATGTGTGTATATAAATTATGAGGATAATATGGCTAATGCATCGACGCTACTGTTGTACGGTCAGTTATCTACAAGGTATGAATGAGATTTTGTTGGTTGGATTGTTTTTTGTTATGTATAACCAACAATCTGTAGACTGTTTAACATAGTCATGATAGGACGCTTTTTCTCTCTCGCCTCTCTTTCCTTCCCAATAATGGCCGAACCAGTCTTCCTTGTTTACATCATCTTCACTGCTCGGCTGTCAATCTTCACATTCGCATAATTCAACCAACAAAAAAAATTTACCGAACTCTGGAATGCATGTGAAACGTCGCTGCCGAAACAAAAAGTACACCCCTAAAATACAGTTTTGTGTCTGACTAAAAAAGTATAATCGACCTAGGTTAGCTAGTTGTACTGATTAATAATGGCGTTGTTGTGTTTATTACATTTTTCTCTTTATATTTTTTTTTTGTCATTTTTTTTTTGTTTTAATGAAAATAAAATATAGAAAAACTGCTTGTGCATTTTTTTAATGTCTTTAAAAAAAATAACTAGTCTATTTGATGCTGGTTTTGTGTATTTTTATATTAATAAAAAATCCATTTTTAATGGCATGTAAACTGAAGCTATTTTCCCCAGTTGCCATATTGTTATATCCTTCGTCTGTAATTGTCGGAAAAAAATGTTATTAGTTTACTGTTATTTTCTTGGTGAAATATTTCGTCTGTCTATGGTGTGAATCTGTAATTCTTGTTCTACAGTGCTAAGTGGTTGCTTATATTGGATTATTAAGTTAGGCTAATTGCTTTGGTTTTAGACTTAAAGCCTTTTTCTCTTTCCTCTCTCGTCTATCCAGAGGCTTCCATTTACAGTGCATAATCGTTCGTTTATTCTCCGTTCGTTTTTACTCTACTTTTCGTCTCTGCCACGAAGCTGTAGTAATGATATACATAGATGATAATAATATAAAAATGGAGATTAAATAGGGATTTTTTTTTTGTTTGTTTAGTGGTAGGATCTTTGCTGCTTTTTTTTTTCTTGATCTCTACTAAATTAATAAAGAGACTATAAATTTTTGCTGAACTGGAATCTAGGTAGGTAGATAGGTTTAGCTGTCAGCAGCAAACTGCTATTCTGCCATTCTGTTATTCTAACCTGAATGTCAACATGAATATTTCTTTTTGCATCTTAAATGATTTTTTTTTCTTTTTAAATCTTCATCAAGCATTCGCGTATTGACCAACATTTGAAAACTTACCACCGTTCGATTTCTTTTTATTTTAATCTAGACTCCTAAAGGGAGCTTGAAAATTTAATTAACTAACGAATGTGTTCGTTTTTATTATTCTAAATTATAAAGTATTTACAAATGTTATGTAATTTTAAAAATTCAAGGTTTTGTTGCAAACACTTTGCCTTTACGTAAATATATACGCAAATATAATCGTAATTTTTGGATTTATTGCAATCTTTCAAAATGTATCTGGTGTTATCGTATCATTATCAACTGGAGGTTATAAAAAAATTCCTTTAAAGGTTTGAATGTTAATGCTTTTAAAACTGCAATGTTTTAAAAATTGTATAAACGACCCACTACCACTATTCTAGAATAGCAAAGAATATAAAAAACGAACTTATATATAATGATTACACACTTCGTTCAGCAGCTTGACCCACACCCATTAATTAAAAAAAATTATTTTGTCAACAAAATTGGTAAATTAGTACAACTTAATTTTTTTTAACATATTCCTAGAATTACTGATCTAAAGGTGGGATCGAAATTTATCGTTGTCTTTTTAATTTCCTGTTCAGTAAATTGGTGGGCGTAGCAGCACAAAACAAGGATGATTATGACGTGAAAGTTTGTTTTTTTTTCAATTTTACCCTTTAAATTGTTCACAAATGCTACATTTTTTGTTTTGTAGGTCTGATATTTTTTTAATGGACTCTATCCTGATGTTTGTAAAAAAAAAAAAAAAAAAAAAAAAAAAAATTTTCTTGGCAAATATTGTTGTTACACAATATACGCAGATGTCCTTCTTTATCATTTCTTGCTTAAATATTTCTTAGCTAGTTTATGTATTTGTATTGTGAGATTTTTAATTATTGCTGATCAGCTGACGACAGGGGCAAGTCCTTTTCTTTTTTTAATTTGTCTAAAGAGCATGTGTCAGCCTCGAGCTGTCATGGCGTGAATGCCTGTCTCTTGCTCGACAAAAAACAACCGTCAATTTGTTGAAAGACTTGAATCCTACTACATATGGACAATATTCGGACACATTCGAAGAATCGTCATCAATTTCCTTGTTTTCTTTCAATTATCTTCTCGTATTGAATTGAAACTAACTCTTTTTCTGGTGAGAGCAAAATGAGACCAGTTTTGGTTCTCTCTCTCTCTCTCTCTCTCTCTCTCTCTCTAGACCTGATTTTGTATTCATTTCTCGTGTGATCACGTGAATTTGATACTTCGACGCCCCCTCCTCGTCATTTTGCTTTCCTTTCGTACTCATCGTTTTACACATTTACTTTGTTTGCAATTATTTAATTTTGAAAAATTACAAACAATAGGCTTTTACTTACTGAATGAATGAAAATATTTGAATCATTTTACATCGGGTTCTTTTTTTGTCTGTAGTTGACCTTCCTTTCAGGAGCAAAAAAAGTGTTCATCGTAAGAATGCCCGATTTGATTGTAGATATTTCTGCAAAAAGTGCTTTTGTCACTGAAAATATAGGAAGTAATAAACATGATAATTCTCTTAAAAATACAGCTTGAATTAATTTTAGATTTTTCAGCAATTTATTTTCATTTCAAATCGTCATCGAGGCGATTTTGATTTATTAACGAAAGTTTATTTTTCTATAAAAATAAAATATTTACATTTAGGTTTCATAGTAAATTTTAAACCAACACAAAGGATTTTTTATTTTTAAGGGAGTAGTTACAATATAAGCAATAGCATGGGTTGAATAAACATTATTATATATTTTTTCAAGTACCGTATATTGATAGTACAATAATACATACCAATATACGTGACTCAGTTAATTGACACATCCGTATGGCTTTCCAAAATATCTGAACCACTTAACAAAAATATATATCTGTACTTGTTCGGGTTGTTCCTGAAATTTTACTGCTGTGAACTTTAACATTGATTTGAGATTTTTGTCAATTATTCCAACTAGTTATTTCTAACCTTAAAAAAAAAAGCAAACTGAAAGGTCTGTCAGAATAAATTCTCAATATGTAGAATTAATTTTCTTTCAGAAACATTATGGAATTTACATGCTTTTAAGTTTGAAGATGGTGTTATTAATTTTTCAACCAATATTTAATAAAAATTGACGCATTTTTTTTCTTTCGGTAGGTAAAGCAATTTTAAAAGATCTTGCAATCTTTCACTGTCATTTTTTTCTCTCTCTCTCTCTCTAATAAAAGTGAAATTTATTTTGATTTTCTACATAAATGCTGTTTTTATTTGTATAAATCCTAATGAAAAGGCTTTTAAATTGAACTCCGGAAGTTAACTTGAGTGTTCAATTTCACGTTTTGTTTTTTTGATTATTTGTGTGTTTGTTGCATTTTAAAACTGATTGAAAATTAGGCCAGAATAACTGATCAAAATACAATTTTATGTTGCATATTTGATTGTCCAGAATTACATTCGTAATTTAATGTTTGTTTTTTCTTTTTTGCCAATATGAAAGCAGCTTATAATGACATTGACATGTGTAAATCATAAATGCTTTGATAAGCAGAACTTAAAATACACGCACCTTTTTATCGTAAAGAATTTTCATGTTAAATTTATTTTAAAGCACGCACGCTCAATTTACAACATTGAGCGCAACGTTTTCGTGCACTTCTAGTCAAAAAGTCTTTATTTTTTAAAGAGGCCAATTTACTCTTCTTAAATCAGTTGAAGGTTAATATGGCTGAACATTGGCAAAATTTAAAAGTTGAAATCTTCCAATCATTCAAGTTCGATTTACTCGGGGGGAAAAATTTGGTTTTCGTTTTCCAATACTATCCCTAAAATAAATGATATAGGTATCTTTTTTATATACGTATACAAACTTCGTTTTGTTTTTGTTTTTTAATCTTTAGGAAACTTAAAATGTTTGGTTTTTTTTTTTTTTTTTTTTTTTTTTTTTATTTGTCATACAAGGAAAATTGAAAAATAAAAATTTTCAACAATTTTTCAGGTCTCAAGGTTACACTGAAATGTACAGTTTCTCTTGACTTTGGTAGGTGCTGGATACTATTCTGAGGGTAAGAAAACTAATTCCAGATGGATAATTAAAATATTTTAAGTCCTTTACTAATGTCAACTAGTGTTATTTACAAATGACTTTGTATCATAGTTAGATTTTAATGAGTCTGATTTAATTATACACTATTGATAATGACATGACCCCCCCCTTTTTTTTTTACAAATCCAATATAGATGTACTTGGATGTTCTGTTTTGTTTATTAGTTGGTGTAAGCTAACTTAGAGATCTACTTCACAAAAAAATCTTCCAAAGCTTTAAAAATAGTGTTAGCATATTTATGACTTTCAAAGTGCTATATTTAAAAAAAAAAAACAATTTAAACTTAACATTGTAAATTTTTCTGTATGAAAGACTTATTTTGTGCATATAAAGAATTAATCTTATACAAGCAAGATGTAAAAATAAGAAGCTAATTAAAGACAATGACTTAGATTTATTAATGCTACTCCTAATGTTTAATTTTAAAAATGGATATATGCTGTTGTATAAAGCAGGATTCTAATTTATTTTTAATTTGGTTCAGGAACATAGACTAAATGCTAGCATAAGTTTCTTTCTCATTTCATTCCAAATAAATCTTTTTTGTATCAAAATATTTACTGTAAATAATTTTTAATCTTTTAAAAAGTCCTAATCTTGAAAATGTCTTTATATTCCTATATATTTTTTAAATTCATATTTGATATTTGACCTAATATTGATAATTCTTAATATTGTAAGTTTTTCCTTGGTCACATATTTTGCATGCTTTTATTAATTGATCTTAGATTACTAAGATGCACTCTCATCTCTATAGGTACATACAATATTATTACAATTGTATGTTAGTTTCAATTATAAATGAATGAACCTCAATGAGCTGAATGTCTTTTGATTCATTTTACAAAAATTTGATCTGATAATATAAATTACTGTAATTATGTGCCTTTAGTAATATAGTTTTCTTAAATATATATTACTGGCTTCAAATTCAACTGGTGGCTATTAGATTAAAAAAAAATATATCAAACCAGTGCCTGTAAAATGTTGTAAATTATGATTGCAAATAATTAAAGTATAAGAAATAGTATTCCAGTTTAAGATTAATCACTAAATATTAACTGGTTAAGTATTTATGTAAATATTTGCAAGAAATTAGAATAATTCCTTGTTGAAATTCTTGTAGTTTTAAATATTTGTTAGGAATTCTTGCTATTCTTGTTAAATGGGTTTTAATTATTTAATTTGATTATGGTTTAAGTTGTTTTTTTGTGTATAAATTATGAATCCCTTTCAAAACGTTTTCTTAAATTTAAGTTTGTACAGATCAATAAAAATAATTTATTACAATGTGCATTGAAATTGGTTTGTCTTTACCACAAGGACTTTTTTTTTTTTTTTTTGAACAAATTTCTAGATTAGTTATCATAATCTTTTGGAAAATATTTGTAAATTTTCTGTTTTTAGTGTTTGTGAATCATACTATTAGATATCAAATACATCCATTTTTCTATGGGGGCACAAAATTGCATCTTTATATTTCACTGTCAAATTGACCTATGACTTTTTTTAAACAACCTGTCAAGTGTTTTTTTTGTGTTTTTTTTTTTTTTTTTGTTTTGTTTTTTTCCTAGTGATTTATCAACAGTTATTCAACTACAAATGTCAAAGAATTTTGTTCATATTCATAGAACCAAAATTTAAATATTTTGTGTTAAAAACTTTTGAACACCAATGCCCATTCATTTTTTTTTTTTTTTTTTTTACGGTTTCAGCTGCATTATCAGAATATTGTTTGAAATTACAAAAACTGGAATAATAAATAATTTAAAATGGTTTAGATTTTAATGTTTTCAAATGAATTAGTTCAATTTTAAACATTGAATAGAATTCAAAATAGCATTAGAACAGTCAGATTTATAAATATATATGAGAAATGAAATGCATTTTAATTTTGCTTGGGAAGAAAATGCATATTTTGTATAAAGTAGATTTTGGAATTTTAAAAATAGACTGATATATTGGTTCTGAAAAACTTTTACAGTTCAAGAGCTTTTCTTCAGAAATTGCTTGGTCATTTAATCAGATTTTGGTAAATGGGTCATATAGAGAACTCTTCAGCACCCATTGTGTGTTTATTTCTCTTTCTCCTCTCTTCTACAATGTCGGAATACATCAGGTACCTGTTTCTTTTAATGTTGGATTATAAATGTGCAGTTATGTTCTCCTTTTTGCACATATTTAATGTTTAACAGTCTTAGTGACTAGGCTGCAGTAGAATTTTGACATAAAAACTTTTTAAATACAGATTCTTCTGTACAGGAGTGTTTGTCTCCTCCCTCTCTCTGAATTTGTGGTTTTAAAATAGACTAATTTGGTATCTGATATTTTAAAAAATTCTCTGAGAATTCCAGAAGACAATTTTATCAAAGGAAAATTGTATTTTCTTGAAATATTAAAGTTACAACTATAATGTGTAAGTCTATAATAGCCTCGTATTGATCCCATTTTTGACTTTTATATTTTTAACAGATGTCAATTTTCAGTAACAAAACAACTACTGTATCGTTATTAAAATGTTTCTTATTTTTGCATGTATGAGGAAACTGGTTATAAATTTCTAATTCAAATATATCTGCAGTTGTTAAACCAGATATCTAAAGTTGGGTTTATTCCACAATCTTGTAATCATTTTGTTGAAATGCTGAAATACTAAACGAGAATTTCATAGGGAGTTCATTGGTCCCTGTCTTATCTGTTTATTTACTTTTCAGGTCATCTTTCCATATTTTCACCACTTAACCTAAGAAATTGACTTATGGATAAAATAATTTTTACAAATGAAAATTCTAAATGTCCATTTCTTAAGGCTTAGCAAGTATTAAAACAATCTGCCAAAGTGTGGGTGGGGATGTGAAGATCATACTTCTGGTTTTGGCATATTTTTTCTTCTCTTTGTATGTTCTCTCTGTAGTTAAATAGATTACTTTGCTTATTTTACAAGTTTTTCTTTCGCCACTGCAATAACGTTATGTTGAATATCTGCCAAGCAAAAGTGAACAATTCTATGAGTAGTGTTTTCTGATTCAATATTAAAAAGGTAGACTTAAGGTTTTGTGCAATATAGATTTTTTTTTTTTTTTTTTTTTTTTTTAGCTCTTAATTCTTTTTTACTGCCTGAGTAGAAATTAAGTGATGGGTTAAGTTTCAAAAAGGTTTCTCCTTGTAATGTGCCCACCTCCTCCTTTGTACCCCTGGCATTATTTATGAACTGGTCAACAAGAGGGCATGGTGTTTAATTTCTGTTCTTTGCTGGTCAACTTAAAATATAAAAAGGTAAGAAAAATCATAAGCAACTTCTAAAGATGAAATGTAATATACGCATGGCTGGGGGGTGCAAAGCATCCACCAAAACAATATTTCTCTATTATATAAAACCTATTTGCATTGACCCCCCCTCTCTCTGACTGAAAATGTTTCCTGCAATAGCAGCTACTTATCTGTGGGCTATATACATTGATTAGTTTATCAGTAAAAGCAATCCTTGCTATCAACTACTTATTGTCTATTATGACCTTCTGCCTGAAATTCAAAATGATTAAGGTAGTCTTCATTTTTTTTCTTCCATTACTTGTGTTGGAATTGCTTACTTTCTGGGTAGCACCTTCATAAAAATGACATGAATATGAAATATATATATATATATATATATATATATATATATATATAAAAAAACAGTATTTCTCTTGTAAAATTTGAATGGCTAGCCAACAAGTCCTGTCTTCCTCCCCAATGTTTAGTCATGGTTTTAGTAGGTTTAATTTGTTGTTCTTTCCCTCCCTCAGTCCATGTAAATGCTACTATTTTGGAGCAACTTGTTTCAGTATAAGTGTACATTAAGAGGTTAGAATTCATTTTAGAAAAATGAATGATCACTTTCAACCTTTCTTTTTCATCTATGGTTTACTGGTTTCAGATAGATACAAATGTTTGTTTCTTTTCTTTCTTTAGTGAAATTTTGTTCATAAAATAAAATGGCTCATGCTGGATTGTAAGTTAATATTAAAAATTGCTCACTGTGTTCAGATCCTGGATTTATGATTGTCATTGTTTTAGAGTACAGCTATATATTTAAAACTTTCAAACTGAGTATGTGCATGACTAGAAGTAAAATTTTCTCATTCCCTTTTTTGAATTGTTAATGATTTTCACATGTTATTTGTATAGATATTTTGATTCTTGTACTAAGACTATTTGGAACTGGTGAATTTTAGAATAAGCCAGCAGTAATTTATTGAACTTTAATCTTGGAATTGCCAACAATAACTGTATTCAGACAAGTTTTTTGTTAATTTCTCCAAGCATTGACAATCCATTCTAACAGGATTGTCCTTTAATTTTAATTAGGTTAAGGCTAAATCTCTTTGGGATGTAGTTTAATATTTAGATTAGTTGGTGGTCCTGGCAGCTATAATAAAGTCATACCTTGAAATGGGAATATTCTTTTGTGTTTTTAATGTTGAGTCATAGTTTTTAAGCTATTCACTGATTGTTCATTAGATTTCTTTTAATATAATTCTCCAGTACACTTGTAAGATAATTGGTTTCACTATCAGGTGATAATGCATAATCCTCATTTATTGTGATTCTCATTTCTCTCCATAGATATATAACAGTTGATTCTATTTTTGTTTTTGCTTATTATTGAACTTTGAGATTTATGCCTTTTCATAATTTCCCTGTCTTCCAATGTATAAATTAGTTGATTCAGCTCTTTCCGTCATTAAATATTTTTCATATTTATTCCATGATTCAACTTCTGAAAAAATATTTTCAATTCAATCATGTGTGGAAAACTTTTTGACCATTGTAAATTAAAGAGAAAAAGAGCACAAGTTGGTAGCTTCATTTTGAATAAAAACAGTAAAGAGAACAATACAAATCCGTTTCTATCTGCAACTAATTGATATTTCTGAATTGTCTACTTATTTGTGTATTCTGTGTGGATCTTAAATTTTCTGTTAACCTAGTCATTGAGGTCTTCTGTAAGCATTTTATGATCTGTAAAAGTCTCAACTGAGAAATTTCTCTGCATGCTGTTAAGTGAAACTAAAAATAAAGCAATATTCCTAACTTTCTGGAATAATCATTGTAATTGTTGATAGTTGTGTGTGTATATACACACACACACACACACACGTTCTTCCATCAATAAGTCTGAGGTCTGATACAGTTATTAACTGAAATATTTGCTGTATAATTCACCACTGGATTAAGTGAATTGACAAAAGGAGGGGATGGTTGAAAAATAATCGGGATGAAGACTTATTTCTGCACTTACATATATGAAACCAGTTTGGCACAAGGACCACATTAGTGTGGCATTCATTACTATTAAACTTAAGACATTGATGAATTGGTCTACAAGACTAAGTTGCTAACCATTACTTTATAGTAGATTCCCAACAGGGTTTTAGATCCAGTTAAATCTCACTGGCATTTTTTCTCCATATACTAGCTTATTAGGAAAAGTTTTTTCTTTTTTTTTCTTTCCTCTCCTCTCTACTAGAGCTTTTTAAACTTTGACCCCCTAATCAATTACTGTTGCCATTACACTAAAATCTGTTTTAGTGATAAGCATTGCATTAAAAATAAACAATCCACTCAACTTTTATAAGTTGATAAAAAACAGTTTTACAGGATTTACATAAAACTGCAGTTAGACTAAAAGAAACTGCATTGAAAGTCATTATGACCATCAGGTTTGATAATTTACAAAGCATGGCTTAAATGTGGCATAAGGCCACAAGTATGAAGCACTCAGTGAGGATCAAACTCACTACTCAGTCTTAATTGATCTAGCAAAACAAGCTTGCTAACCATTACACCATCTTGAAGTTCTTAATATCTGCAATTTTGAATGTGTCTGCCATATTTCTTTAATGCACATACACACACAATTTAATATAATTTAGTATTAAAAATATTTTGTACTTAATTTCATATTTTTTCTAGTTATCTCTTAGAATGGAATGGCAAGTAAATTAGTGCTTTTTAGTTTTTTTTTTTTTTTTTTTTTTTTTTCCTTCTCTCCTCTCTCTCTCTCCCCTCTCAAAATTTGCTTTGATGTGTTTGACTATTGTCTGTCTGGTCAGTTTTTTTTTTTTCTTTTTTTTTCTTTCTTCCTCTAGTGTTAAGATATGTCTATTTGTTAGACTTGTTCTATTCTGTTGCTTAATATTAATACATCTCACAAATAAGCATCAGACTTTGGGGCATACATTTCAGGTACAGTTTCTGTTAACCAGATTATATTTAAGGAATATCCACAATATTTTTTTTTTTTTTTTTATTTTAAATTCCTGTTTATTTTGTTGTTCTCAATTTATTTTTTCATTGCTTTATTTCCTGGCTTGAAAGATGCATTATTAACTTGTTCTATAAAATAAAATACTAATTTTTATTAACTAAACATTCGTTTTAAATAAAAAATTTTTTCATCCTATTAATATTTAGCAAATCATTGTTGCAATCAGACTGGATTCAAGTAGCAGTGGTGAAATTGAGGGTGGGGGGGGCTCTTATGATCCTACAGATTACAATTAAAAAGAACCTACACTCTTAATTTCTTTTGATTTTTTTTTTTTTTTTTTTTTTTTTTTTTTTTTTTTATTTGTTCCTGATATAAAATACCAAGTTCTTTTTAGCTCTTGCTATTATTGATTTTTTTTTTTTTTTTTTTTTTTTTTTTTTTTATATTTGTTACATTGTAGATATTTATAGCTCTCAAGTTAGAAGTTAAAAACCATTTTATTTAGTGCAGACTAGTTTTACTTTGTCAACACCCTTGAATAATGCTGTTATAATAGCAGCATTGGCACATTTTCAAACAATTTTTTTTATAAATTGGCTAAACTATATACCCAAACACATCTATAAAAAATTTTTTTGAATTTCAGTAACCCCCCCCCACGCCTACATACGCATGTGCACTTAATCAACAGAAACATGACTTTAATGCAATGTAGTCTTAAAGGACAAAATGTGTCACAAGATTTTTTCCGATTTTGTCATTAATTTTCCTAACATTGTACCAACATATAAAAATTTATTATTTTCTTCCATAACAATCTATGCAAAAATAAAACTAATTCAATAACTGCTTAGTTTAATCACTGAGTACAAACTGTTTTGTCATGAGTAAATTTTGATACATTTATTGAATTCTGTATTCTCATACCTGTTGAAGGATAAGCATAGTTCTTTTTCTAAACTCTAAATCTATAATTTTTATAAATTCAAATATTTTTATTGAAAATGACTAATAAAATGTCGAAAAAAAAAGTAATGTATTCATCAATTGTGTGAACATATTTTAATAATTCCTATAAGCTTCTTAAAATACATCTATTTTCATGAATGATTTCTATATTTTTATTTTTCACATGTAAATTATCTAAGTTGTAATATATATTTATAATTTCCCCTATTTACCCCTCAAATCTTAATTGACAGTATCGCTTAAATCCTGCAATATACTGATTTCTTATCAATTGAACATTGAGATGAGAATGAGTCTTGAGTAAAATGCTATTTCATGCAATTTTTAAAATGTTAAACATAATCTTTTTTTTTTTTTTTTAAATATTACAAAATTTGTCAGTTGTATAAGTTTAAAATAAAACTTTTCTAATATTTGCTCTTCTATAATTATCAGTTTTAATTTGAATAAAAAATTTTAAATGTCAAGATTATGTTTACAAATCTTAAGCTTATATGAAATAGGCTATGTGAACTCATTGGAACAAATTTTGTTTTGTAAATGCTAGAAGTTTCCAATTAAATCATGCTGAAATAGTTTGTCTATAAGGTTAATAAGGCAATATAACTTAAAATCAATATTGTTAATATGGTTATGTTTGAAATTAGAGCTCTGATTTATAAAAAAAAAAAAAAGTCTGCTAGAATTTATTTCATTATACCATGTTTTTTGCTAAACAATGGTTTGTACAAACTGAATATTTTAAATTTTGGCAACACAGTGAGATTGTGTATTTTCAGATTTAGAATTTGTTTCAAATATATACAGTTGAATACTTGATAATTTAATACACTTTCATACATTATAATACATTTCCTTGAGCTAGTTACAAATATTGGATATTTCAAGTAGAAGTAAAACAAATTCTAAATGAAAAAGTTGAATTCTATAATAGAGAATATATGCAAGACTAAATGAAGGTCTTAGCGCTATTAATGTTATTACAAGTCACTTTCAGAAAGCATAATGGAATTTGTTGCCATAAATAGAATTGATTGAATCAATCCGATTAATGTAGATTGCTTGCATTTATATTTTGATAGTAAAGGAATTGTAACTTTTAGTATTTTGTGAACGATTATAACAATTGATGAGTTTCAATAAACGATATGTCCACTTTAAGCAAACTGAATGCAAGTTTTAACTCTGGTTAGTTTAGTATCTGTGTGCCCTGCTTAAGTTGGTATTTTGAATTAATTTTACAAGACTGTTTAAGTTGCAGAATGCATGATTTAGAATATATATAAATTGGTTGCCTGCTTGCCTCTAGGCTGAACATTTAAATTGAGGCAAACAAATCTTAATTTTATATTTGCTTTCATATGACAATTTATGATCATAAAAACCTACAAAAAGTCGCATTGTTCATTCATTATGCAAAATAAAAAGTCCTTTGCCCTACTACCCAAATGCACAAGCCAGCTGGTTTTATATATAATATTTAGTTCCTTGTTCAGCTTGAGAATGCTTTAGACCCCCATGTATGATATCTGGATACTTTGTTAGTTTTGTATGGTTCTGTCTTTGGTATATTTTTTGGTTTTAATAGTTATTTACTTGCTTAAACTGACATGCATGTTGATATTTTTAGTTTTTCTTTTAAGATATAGTTATGTAGAAGCCAATAAATTTATGTAACATCTTTTCATGAAGATTTACTGGATGTTTTTTTGTTTTTGTTTTAATTTTTGTTGCTGTTAAGTTTCTTTAAGCACCCCCACCCCACATTTTCTCCCGTGAAATGCATTATATATTTTGAAATGGTTTCAGAATTAATATTCATTGTTAATAATCCTCATAATTCATTATTTATCTGCTACATGTAAAGGCGTTGATTTTGTGCAGTGCAATATTTCTGGTCATTTGTTTATTTTATATGAATTGATGTCTTTATTTTTTTCTTCCTCCTCCTAATTAAAGTAATTGCTTATTTTCATTCTCAAAACGGAGGCAACTCCAGAAAATGCCATTGACAGATTGGGTAAAAAATTGAAAGTAAAATCAATACTGAAAAAATTAATAAAAAAAAAAAATGCCGTCAGAAAATCAACAGCTAATGTTAAAATAAAATTTTTAAATACTGATCCAAGAACTTTCTTTTTTGTATTCTTATATTAGTTTCTCCTTTGGGTCATGATATCAAATTCCTAACTAAAGTTATTTTAAGATTTTTATCAGTTTTAAATAAAGCTTTTTAGTATTTAAGTCTAGAAACTTTTTAAATAATAAATTTTCTCCGTGTCAGTGGTAAACCAAGAACCACAATTGGCTGTAAATCATTTTTTGGTCCTAAATTAATAAAACGTTTGTTTTCCTTCTGGAAAACGCTTATGATTCAGTTTGAAATTCGATTATTGTAATAGAATTAAATCTAAAATTAAACATTGTAAAGATTTTAGAACCACTTTATTTTTTTCCTAGTTAATACAACATCTAAGGTGAAGAGAAAGTGTTTTTTTTTTTTTTGTTTGTTTGTTTTTTTTTTTTTAAGATGTTACTTTTTAAGGTTTTTTATATAGATTCCAACAAAAAGATCCTTTTCAAATCTTTACTAATTTGAATAATGATTTTTTAATTAAATTTCCTCACGTTTTTTACAGATTCCTTCCTGCAAAGCAAAAGCAGAGATAACTTGAACAAATCAGCTAAAGGAAGATGGCCGGTAGAGGAGCCGCCCAACGACCAAATGGTGCAACACAAGGGAAAATATGTCAATTTAAGTTAGTTTTGCTGGGAGAGTCTGCTGTAGGAAAGTCAAGTTTGGTGTTGCGTTTTGTCAAAGGCCAGTTTCACGAATACCAAGAAAGCACGATAGGAGGTAAGGCTTTAGTATTCATCTAACTACTAATTGTGTTTGATGTCTAGCATTCTTAAAGTTGAAGTCATATGACTTTATTCGAGCTTCTTCTATTCTGACAGGAAATATCAAATTCAAAATGTATGTTTTATGTCATTGTATATGTTCAGCACATTGAATCATCAATAGTTTGTAGAGACTTTCAGTATATTGGTTCAGGATTGTAAATGGTTTTGTCAGCAAAATTCATATTTTTGGAAGCGATATGAAAATTAGTTTAGCAAATGCTGATATGATATTAAAGAATTTTACTAATTTTTTTTTTTTTTATGATTTTCTTTACCCCCTCTTCTATTGAAATAACTTTTTTTTTTTTTTTTTTTTTTTTCTAAACCTTATTTCTAATCTTCAGGCATATAGAGCATAGATGCACTTAAATTTTCTATATTATAAGCTTTATTTTGATTTGCAACATAGCATGAATGGCTCAAGATTGAAACCTGGTATCACATATTTCTTGTGTATTAACTATATGGTTTCATATTGCATAACTGGTTATTGGTCTGTGATGAACTATACTGAATTTCTGTTTCTATTCAGCATGAAATGATCAGAAAGCATCCCACTTTGTTGATTACAAATTGTGCTCTTATTGAGGCAATACCTATAAGTATTGCAATGGCTCCTCTACAGACTAAAAATAATTGATATCTGAATACGGCACACAATTGAATCTACACCTAGAGCCAACTTTGTAAAAGTTTCTGTTGCTGTTGTATTTTAGTTGATAAATAGGTTTTTGAGTTTATTCATAACTGTTCTACACAAATATTTCTTAATATTTCTTGCCCAAAATTTTTGAATGCATTGTTATAATTCATCTTTTGCTGTTATCTCCTGGAGTTAAAAAAAAAAAAAAAATCAACTTTCGTGATTGCTAAAATGTAAACATTTCTAATATTTGAATATTTTCACCTTACTGCACTTAAATTGTGTGTGTGCATGCATGTTGATATTATCTGAAAACACTTTGGAGCATTACGCATTACTCATTTTTAAGTAAAACATTTTTATAAAAACAAAAATCTTTGCTAACAGTTTTTGTTTTTTTTATTTTTTTTTTTATTTGTCCTTGTAAATATTCCCAATGCCAGATCTTGGGAAAACGTATGAAAACTGTTTTAACTTCAATGATTCCAATTAAATTTTAAAAGAAAATAGATGTTTATATATATATATATATATATATATATATATGTGTGTGTGCACGCACATTTCTTTGCTTATTATGGGCCAAACTGGATTTCTCAGATTCAAGGAATTTTGTTATTTTTGCTTTTAGCAGTCAACCAAGTTTTTAAATGAGGATCTTTCAAACCTCTCTTATTTTCTTTATTATTTAATAATGTATTTATTACAGATTAATAATGTTGATGTATTTAGCAAGGTTTTAGTAAATTATTTCCTTTTTTAATATGAAGTGAAACTAACTTGGTTATGGTTCTCTATATTTTCTTTTCCAGCTGCTTTCCTGACTCAGACAGTTTGTCTTGATGATACTACAGTAAAATTTGAAATTTGGGACACAGCTGGCCAGGAGCGATATCACAGCCTTGCTCCTATGTATTATAGAGGGGCTCAGGCAGCAATAGTGGTGTATGATATAACAAATCAGGTAGAATCCTTTTACTTGTTGAACAATTATATAAAAAAAAATTATTTAGCTTTTAAATTATTTTAAATGTTTCTATTTGTTTAATTTGTTCATAAAGAAATTCTGATTTTATAAATGAATAAACATTGTGTGTGTCCAATATTGAAATTACATTGGATATTTATGCTAATATAACTCTTTAATCAATTTTGTACAAATTTCCAAGTTAAGTGCCGTTAAATTTAGCCCCAGAAATGCTCATTAATGAATTATTCAATAAGAGTACTTAAAGCTTTCATCTATACTTGACAAAATGGATAAAACGGTTTTTAATTTATTCATTTAGTAAATAAGTTTACAATGTTGCAAATGTCTCTTAATTTATTGATGTCATCACATTTTAGAAATGTGGTCATCTGAAAAATCTTTCCTTATTTTATCAAAATTAGAATGTTTTTAACCTATTTCCTTTATCCAACAAAGCTGCTCTGTTCTAGTTAGGCAGTTCTGACTAGTAGTAAAAGTTGATAATTATACAAACTGAATATACAATTCTAACTGCTAATGCCAAAAAAGACAAAATAAATCTAAAATAAAGGGATTTTATACAGATTCAAAGATTTTCATTTAGTTTCCTTAGCTAGCTTCTCTTTTTTTTCTACAAAATATTGGTATGTTTATCATCTCTTTGACAGTTTTATATTTAAAAAAAAAAAAAAAACCTTGCTATTTCTTTAATTAGCAAAGATTGGGTGGTTGATTTGGAAGAGTAAATTTTGAGTTACATCAAAAGTTATCCATTTGTTTCATTTCAATATAATGTCACATTAATGTTACATTTAATCTAATGATATAAATGGGAAATGGTGGGTGTGTGGGGAGGGTGTAATACAAATGTTTGATATTAGACTCTTTTGCTGACATTAAATCCTAGCAGAGCAGACAATGTAACTCTTCTTTACAATGAATGTTTTTTCTGAAGCATTAAAACTGATTAGAACTATATAGGTTGTCTTTATTTTAATCTTGTACTTTAAATTTAAAAATGGGCTAATGTTGAAATTTATTTTACTGTTTGGTTAACCAAATTTTTTATAAGTGAAATCTTTTCATGGTAAACCCTTATGATCGTGCATGTATAGCATAAATCAAAACGAACCCTTACCTTCAATAAATATTAATTTAATAAAAACTTTCTATGATTTCTATTTAAATGATCAATTAGGATGTTGATATGCATACAATGTACTTTGGCGATCATATCTCTTTTGATTCATGACTGACTAGGCAGATTTTCCTGCAGTGGGTTGTCATTTCTTTCTGCAAAAGACTGGTTGCCAACCAAAGCTATAGAACACAGTCTGTCAAGGGAAGAAGAGATGGATTCATACCTTTCTCAAGAGTATTTGTGCCTAAGTGAATGTAACGAACCTGACTGGAATTTGAACTCTGCTCTTCGTTCCTCATTCCAAGCTGATAACTATTAGAGCACAAGAGTTGAATAAATAATTATTATAGCTCGTTCTTCATGTTGATAAGACATTCTAATAGACTCATGCAAAAGAATTGATGAGAATGAATTTAAAGGAAAATTGTTAATTCCTTCTGTCACACATTTGTAAATCAGAAGTTTGACAGTATTATGAATTGCATATCAACCAGGCACATATTTTACATTGGGAGTAAAAAAGAGAAGCATGAGTGGATGCCATAGTCTCACAGCTCCATTATCATGAGGTGTATTTTATTCTATAGGGAGAAGTGGGTGGGAGCTGCTTTGGCATGAAGCCATCCTTATCAAGTTAGTGCCTTACCATTGTATTTGTGTACTCACTGGGTGCCTCGCATGTCAGGTTAAGCAAAGGAAGTGGGGCTTAAATAAGCACCCCCTTTCCCAAGAGCATTAGTGCAAAAGTGGACATGACAAATTAGGCCAGAACTTCAATTTAGCTTATCAGTTTTACTTTCCATATCAGTTATCATTCCACTACCCATAAAGAATGTAGTTGGTTAATTTATATTGCCTCTGTTGGAAGTCTGATGTCATTACACAGTCCTTTTTAGAGAAGTCTCTAGTTCAAGAGATAGACCTACTGTAATCTGTAGTCATATCATCCTACCTAACATACTGAAACTTAGTTCATAGGTACCACATTTGTCTCAGAAAACTTAAATTCTTTTCTATAACTGTTTTTTGTTTTTTTTGTGTGCTCGAATTTAGCTTAATTTGGCTACCTCTTTTCCTATTGCATTCAGGCAATAAGTACATACAAGGGATGCTGAAAGTTAAAAGAACCAAGAATCCCTTTCAAAGAAAAAATGTTGATATTCAGTTTCAATTTGGGAAATTAGTTGGGTTGACTCTCCTTACAGCACTCATGCATTATCCTTAGATACTGTCCTTGAAAACTATTGTCTGAGTAAATAAACTGCATAGGAGTTGGTTCTAAATAAATAGGAACAAAGATGTTTTTAAAAAAAAAAAACATTTAGTAAGCCGTTACATGATTGGATTAATGGGGCAAAATGTGTAGAATATTCTTCTTGAAGACTATCCTATGTCGTCAATAAAACAGACTTTAATATTAAAAAAAAAACCTTAACTGAAATTGGGGACAGTGGTTAGCTTTTTTTAGTATAATGCAAGTGTGAAAATCTTAAAAGATCTACAGTTTAAACTCTAATTCTACATCTCAGATAATCTACTTTTGTCTTTGGTTATTTCCTGGAATCAATCTGTAAAACACATTTTTACTTGGTTCCCAGTTGGATAAATTGTCAATACCATACTTGGCATTTTCATTTACTGCTCATATTCTTTGTAGATATATGACTGCTCCCATAACCTAGGAGAAAAATACATTACCTTGTTTTCTACAATCAGATAAATAATTTGTTACATTGTGTAAAATATGATCTCAAAAATCTTTTGTTTTTCTCCTTTCATTTCAAACTGAAGTAAATGGCACAATTTGAATAGTTCTCTCTCTCAATACATTTTTTAAATTTTGTAAATAAATTCCCAGTAGAGCAAGATATTGTAAATGTTTCATGTTGATGACTTTACAAACCGTATTAACACACTTTAGTAATCTTTATACAAGGGAAACTTCATGTCAATTTATCTTTTGCCTCTTTCCAATTGTGGTTGCTGCAGCACTAAGCACATTACCAGTTAATCAGTGTAAAATTGTTCAATTACTCGTCCATCAACCAGTTATTTTGTTTATACTGCAGTAGAGGACTCTGGCTGTTTTCTAAAAGAGAATTATTTGCCAATGTTCTGTGTTGTTTCCAGGGCCTTTATTGATCTATATATGCAAAATAAGTACATGCTTAGGTGCTATCAAGGAAGAAGGCACCGGGTATTGGTGAAAAAGATCATTCTTCCTTAACTGACTCTTGAGCATACATCTTGAGATAGCCAGAATAGGATTATTCCTCAGTTAACAATAATGGACCAATAAAATTAAAATAATGTTGCTTTTACTACAAATAAAGATTAATGAAAAACTGTCAAAATATTTCTAAAATATCCTAAGATAACTGATGATTCCTAATCCAGGTTTGTAATAAACAAGAATGGCCAATTACTGATTAATTGATGCCACTTTAGTTCCAACAGCAATTACTGCTTATTCTTTCAACCATTCCTAATGTTTGGTTGGATGATTTGATAGCACTAAGTATTTTTTTTTTTTTTTTTTTTTTTTTTTTTTTGGGAATATGAAACTATTCTTGATATTTATATTGATAATATAGATTAGTTAGACTTATTGATGATACATTTCCAGTCTAAGCAATAAACTCATTTTGAATATATAGAAAACGAAACTTAGTTTTGTTATAACAAGATTTTTTTTTTTTTTTTTTTTTTTTTTTTCTAAATTTAGGTTTGGCCATTTTTATTAACTTTTACAATAAGTTCATTGAAATCATCAATTCTAATTTTTGTACAAGGCAACTGGTTGGATTCAACTACAAAAGTAAAAACGTTATACACTTATTTGTGCAGGTTGTCTCAATTTGGTTGAGATATAGTTAGTGTTTTGGTCATTGTATGCTCCAACATTCATCAGGTGGCATTTGATAAAGTTTTTATTTAAATTTCAAACTGACTCCTTTATTCAATATTCTTCTGTTTTCCCTGCTAAGAGATCTCATATATTAATTCTTGTAATGCTTATTCATCTGAGCATGTGACTTTCATGACCACCAGGTAATAAACTACATTCCACTACTTGGATATCTACAAAGTGAATGCATAATAAATCCTCTTCTCAGAAATTCAGATGATAAATCTTGGCTCCAGGCCAAAATTTACAGGTTTAAGTTAAATGAAAATATTTGGTTTTGTTATTGGAATAATTTGAAAATGCAGTCTTCCATCTGTTACTGTTTCTTTTTAAAAATTTTATCTGGTACATTTATGGATGAATTGGCTTGTTTGTGTGTCTGGGTCATGATAATCTTGTGTATTTTGCAAGATGGCTTGCATATTAAATTATATGCTCGTCACAAATAGTGATTGTTTCAAGGGTCCCACCCCAGTCATAATTGCTGTTTTATTAGTTACATTTTTTTTTTTTTTTTTTGTTTTAGTAATATTTAACTCGGTTTCTGTATTTGTCACTTAAATTCAATTAACTTTGTCACTATTCAATTTTATCTGTATTCACTGGCAAAAAGGATGATTTCTGGAAGATTTTTTTTTTTTTTTTTTTTTTTTTTTTTTTTTGTGTGTGTGTTTTTTGTTTTATGAAATCATAATTGAAATTATCCTTCAATAAATTATGAAGATCCCCCTCTCCAAGTTATAATGTATATTTACTGTTGGTTATCATCACATCCAAATACTGAAATGTACACTTTTTTTCTTTTTTTTTTTTTTTTCACCTTATATACATATTGCCAGCTATACCTAGTGAGATTTTGCTCTTTCTACAATGCCTTAGTGGTTCTATCAAAGACTAAATGAAGGAATTTTGATTTCATGTATTGTACCTTTTACCTATTAACATCTGAAAATAAACTTTTCTCAAGCCTGTATGTTTGCTAACTAATGATTTACAGACTTCATCTGTTAGAAATTTTTGTATGTTGAAAGATAACTTAGAATATCATGAAATTTAATGTATTAAAGTATGTGTTTTTTTTTTTTTTTTAATGAAACCTGTTGTCTTACTTTTCTTAATTTCAGGACACTTTTAGTAGGGCGAAATCTTGGGTAAAGGAACTGCAGCGGCAAGCAAGTCCAAATATTGTCATAGCATTAGCAGGGAATAAGGCTGATCTTGCAAACAAACGCATGGTAGAACATGAGGTAAGCTGAATACAAGTTGAAATATTTTCTCTTTTCAAATTTTGACAATTTTACATGTGATCAATTTCTGATCACTATAACTTTATTAAAGTGCATTAAAATTAGAAATGAAATTCATTCCAAATCCTATTTAAGCTTAAATATTATTTCCATTTAAAAAAAAAAAAAAATTTTAAGCTTGTTTAAGAGTTCATGTAAAATTTATAGGTAACTATAATTTTACATAATGTATTGTAATCAGGTTTTTTTTTTTTTTTTTTTTTTAATTTTATTCTGTTTGCTGTTAGACATGTTTATAATTGCAGTTATACTGTATGTTGAACTCTAGTATTGTTACCATTTCTGAAAGAAGTCCTCTCTTATTCATTTTTCATTGCAGTTTGACTAAATTGTAGACGCATATCTGTTAATAGCTATCCCAAGCTGCTTTAGTTTAAACTGCAAACAGGTCAAAATAGTGAGATTGCCTCCCATTTCCAATGTTGATATCTCATTTTTCTCTTTCTAAAGATACAGTTCTTTCTTGTGTGATGATTAGTTTTTCTTCCATGTCTTAAATTATGATTTCAGTATTTCAGTGACAGACAGCACTTTTCAATGTTGGCAATTTCATAGTGGTGTTTTTAAAACTTGTTGCGTTTCTAGTTGTCGCCCTACACATATCAAAATAGCCTCATATTAAAGAAAAAAGGGCACTTGTCAATTTAGTAGGCTTAAGATGTCTGATCTTTAATAATCAGTTGGTTTCGTATCTGTGTGCCCACACAACTCAAGGTGCACGTGAATCAAAAAGAGGGTATATGGCATTCATTTTGTGCAAAACCATTTGGTCTGACATATTGAACTTTGAATTGCTGACCAAATGAATGAGCATTGCCAACTGAGTCCCATTTTAAATCATATTAGTTTCATCAATGAATATTACAATTTAAATCTTTTTTTATATATTTCCTTTTAAAAACTATAAAAGTATTTGTCCAAACTGTCACACTCAAATCACTTTCTTTCACCTCGTCTGTTTATGCAATATTTTTTTTAATCAAACAGAATTAATATAAAATTAAAAAAAAATAGTTCTTCAAAAAGTATTTGGTTTTCTTTTCATTTACATTTGTGGGTAGTAATATTTTCTCTAATTTTCAGGATTTGGAGATTAAATTAAATTTTTTTTTTTTTTTTTTAAATGAAACTGGATACATTTTATAAAAATAAAAAATGAAGTGGATATGTTTACCTTTTGACACATGGGTCAATGATGAAAAAAAAATTTAAATGTAATTAGGTAATTTTAAACATGTAATTTATTTTTAATGTTTACTAGTTCTAGGGATTAAGTTCTATTTTGGAAGTTAAAATGAAATTGCTACATTTTCCTTTAAAAAAATGTAAACATTTTATAGTTCAACTTTTGCAAACATGCATTTTCTTTTCGTATTTATGTTTTCCTTAAGCCGTTATAGAAGATTAAATAACATAACATTTTTTTCTTAAGCAAGCATTTTTCAAAGTTTAGGCTGGTCTGATTAAAGAATTATTGATTCCATTAGTCTTATCTATCTTTTACTTCAAGACTGACATTTCACTAGTCTGAAGCTGGCACCTTCAGTTATACACTGTTGAAATTGGCTTCTGGCCCAATAGTACAATTGACAAATTTTCAAAGTTCTGACCCACTTTAAATGGTCATAACTTCATTGTTAATTGACCCACCAAGATAAATTTGGTACTTTTTTCTTTTGTTATGTATTAGGTCCTCTGTCTGTATTAAAGATTTTTTTAATATATAGATATATTGAAAATTCAGTTTGATCTCTCTATGAGCAAAAACTTCTAGAAACAACCTATTTTACAAAAGTTTTTTTTTTGTGTGTGTGTGTGTGGCTGTCACTTGTTGATGCAATGAATATTCAATTTCATGCTTCAAATCCTGCTGGCCATGTTTCACATGTGCCTTATCCCCATTTGATTCTTATGTAACATGTAAATTTATACATATAAGTTGTTATATCTTGGTTAATGTTTTCTTTTTCTTTTCTTTCTTTTAAAGGAAGCCCATGCATATGCAGAAGAAAATAGTTTGTTATTTATGGAAACTTCAGCCAAAACAGCAATGAATGTTAATGAAATATTCCTTGCAATTGGTAAGTAAATTTATCTTAAATTATTCTCTACTACACATACACACACTCCCATATACAAGCTAAAAAGAATTTTGGATAATATTTTTTGGCATGTCCCTTCAGGACATGGGTAATACCAGATTTTTCATACAGAAATGATGGTAGTTATGATTTTACATTTTCTCACCTCTCTGGAATATTGTTTTAAAAAATGGAGGCAAGTATTGTTTACATAATATTTAATTGTCAAGTGTTTGGAGAGAGTAATCAAGATGAATTTTAGTATATGTAGACCTTGTAAATATAACTTAGTAAATAGAAAATATCTGAAATGCTAATATAAAAGCACTTAATAGCAATAATTGGAAAATTTAAGAAGTTTGTAATTGACTGGTTATTAAGTCAAATTTGAAGAGTATCTTTTTTAAAAAAAAAAAAAAAACTTTCTGTGGATTTAAATAAAATAACCATTTATAAAATGTATAAATGAATTATTGTAGTTCTATATAAAATATTCAAATTTTGTTTACTGAGAATGCTGTAAGATTAGGTCATTTAGAATTGACTTGGAATATTGGTGTTTCTGTAATGTAAAAAAAACGAATGAAACTCTTCAGTTTTTCTAATCTATTAAAAGGTGTGACTTAAAAAAAGGAAAGATAGTCTGCTAGAAACTAATCTAGCAAGAATGATTAATATGGAAATACTCTAAACTGCTCATTCAACATGAGTTTTTAGTAAGATATAATTATTTAAATTTGCTTATTTACCATTTCCAGTTCTTGTTAGGGAAAATTTATTTTACACCAGTCTTCTTCAATGGCTTGTGCAGGCTTCTGGACAGGATAAGCACTGTCAAGCACTGCTATTTTGTGTGTGTGTGTGTGTATTTTTTTTTTATTTTTTTCCTTCTCGTAATGTTGAGATCACTGATGTGCAGTATTAAAGAGGGATGTCCAATTTGGGGCACATACATACACAACCCATCTATCAACTCATCCAATCTTTTGTAACATCTGTGAATGGGTTTTTAAAAAGATTACTCTTTAAAATGAAACCTAAATCACAAATGTAACTAAATTTTTTCTTTGTTTTAAAGAATTCTTTTTTTCTTTCTCTAATTTGAATCTCATAAATATTTGAAAACTTTTTCTATCACTTAACCCAAGCAACATAAAAGATCTTGATGCTAAAGGTATAGATTTGATCCCCTCCCCCTTAACTTATCACTACCATTTTAAGATAATGTTTAATGTATACCTACATATTTTCCTTTTATTCTTCAAAAGAAAACCTTGATTTTTTTTTTTTTTTTTTTTTTTTTTTTGTCTTTTTTTTCTTATGTCTGGCAGCAAAGAAATTGCCGAAGAATGAGGCAGGAGGAACTTCACAACAAAGACAGCAAGGTTTGACGCTCAATAATGAGCAAAATCAACAGACTAAGGCTGGATGCTGCAATTAATGTAGCACCTGAATCTGTTTGTATTGGTCAGTCAGTGGCTGAGGAGAACTATATTGAGAGAGAGAGCGAGCAAATGATAGCAACGGGGCATTGACTCCACCAGCCATCAGTTCAGTCACAGCAAACAGTACAACAACCACGTGACCATGTGATCAAACAGTAGTTGGAATCTAAAATTGTATTTTTTACATATAACAGAGGATGAGAATATATGTGCCCGCAGCCTGTTGGAAGAAAAGAGTACATGGACAACATCTGGTCAGTGCCGCCCAGATGACTGTATAGTAACAATTTTGAAATTAAAAAGTACAGTATATTGTACTTGTTTCTTTCAAGGATGAGATGATGAAGATAAGGAAAAAACGAAAAAAAAAAAAAGAAAAAAAAGAAAAAAAAATCTTGTAAATTTCTCAAAGGTTCTGCACCTCTGTAAAATATTGTATGCTTTGTCTGGGGGTTGTAGGGTAGGGTTTCAAACAAAATGAATTTAAAAAAAAAAAAAAAATATGGAGTAATGAAATTATGATATTATTAATAAATTCCATGGTTCCAAGTTGTGCGATTACATTCAGACATACATTACTACTACTACTACTGTTACTACTCTTAATACTACTACTACTACTACTACAATTACCACCAACCAGCCACTTTCTTCTCCTCTTCTCTTCTTCCTCCAGAATTAAAACTTCTATTGTTTCTCGCTGGCACCTGCATCATGTACGTTCTACTTACACACATGAACTTTTAACAATTGATTGGGTGGGGGTCTGTCATGCTGTTTCAGCATTTTCATTGCTGATTGTTTTGGAAAGGTAAAAAAAAAAAAAAACTTTTGCAAATTATAAAAGCAAGAAAATTAAAAAAAAAAAAAAAAAATAACAAAATCTCTTTCCCCCCTCCTCCTTTTTGATATAGTATTTGTTTTCTATGCAGTTTTTCTTTCTTTTCTCACCCCCCCCCCAACTCTGTTTGCCGCCTTCTCTTTAATTTGCGGAAGTCTTGCTGCTTTGTGTGATATGAGGAAACAAAAGTCATTATAAATTTAATTTCTTCCCAGAAGCTGTTTCCCTCTCCCCCTTTTCATTGTTTTATTTTCCTATGTTTTTTCCTTCAAATTGCTGGACCAGAATGTACCAGAATGATGTTGATATTGGAAACAAAACTAATTTTGAATGTCTCACCCCCTCAGAAAATGTCTATGGAAATTATTTAACCTGTAGTGATAAATTTTGGATTTTTTCTTTTTTAGTCACTGGAATGAAATTCTTATGAGTCAGTAATTGAAAAATAGACTCTAGTTAGGTGAATATAAAAATGACAAAAATACTAATTCTTAGAAACTTAACCTTTTTGTCTTAATGTTTTATAAAGCATCTTTCTTTGTAATTGATCAACTAGATTTTATCTGCAAGTAATGACAGAGGGAGCCATTTATTATAATTACAAATATTGCTATCAAAATCGGTAACTGTTTTTAAATTTAAAAAAAAAAGATGATTTGCTTATAATCAAAGTTCCAGATATTGTTATCAAAAGATAAATTTCTTTTGAAAATAGTTAACAGGCCACAGATGTTTTGAAATTCAGTTGTCTATTGATGGCCAACTTTTTTTTTTTTTTTTTTTTTTTTTTTTTAATAATTTTGAATAAGTTCTTGTAAGTCAAATAATTTAGTGTTGTTTTTTTTTTTTTATACTAACAATGAACGTGAACTGTTGCAATTTTTATATACTTTGGTTAGAATGGCCAAGTCCTAAAATATCTGCAGTAAATGGCTTCCTTTGTATTGGTTCAGTGTTTTTTTTTGTTTTTGTTTTTTTTTAATCACTATTAGGTTAGTCGATGAAGTGATATTTCTTGCAAAGAGAATTTAACAGGTCAAAAAAAAAATATTACAAAATTTTTAAACTAAACATTATTTATTCCCTCTCAAACAAATACTAATGCATGTGACATTTTTGCTATGAAAATGAAGGTTTTTTTTGGTTTTTTTCTCTCTCCCCCCCCTCCAAACTTTAGAAATTAATTTTACAAGATGATAGTGATATTTAAAAAAAAATTAATTTACAACTATTTAATGCTGTAAAATCAACACCACCAACCACCACAACTACTACAAATTTCCAACTTGTCTACCTACCAACTACCACCACCGCCGCCGCTCATGAAGTTCAACCATTCATTTCTTTGTTGTGTACATTTTGTCGCGGGAGTGCCGTTGGGACCTGGAGCATGCACTGAAGTTCCAATTAACCATGTAACCACACTTTCTCTCTTAACACTGCAAAATGAAGTAAAAACAAGATAGTCCAACGCTATATTACTAGAAAGTTGTCTCTTTGCAACACCCATAATAACTATTCCTTTGTAAATAAATCTCATCGTCTTTCTATGTGACCAGCCTAATGGGTGGTTTTTTTGAGGCAAGAGTAGTTTTGTTTGCACTCTTGAACTCAGATCTTGCATGTCTATATCTATTGTCGCTATGGAAAACATACATGTGTATGTATATGTAATACATATATACATATGTGTGTGTGTGTATACATACATAACCAGATTTTAGAAATAAAGCATTGGACATTGCAAAGTTTTCCCCTTTATTTTTGCCCCTTTTGGAATCACTGAAGAGATGGTTTTCTTTTTACTTTTCTTTTTCCCCCCTTTTCTTTATTTGCTGATATTTAAGGGCCACTTTTTCTTAAATTCCAAATGAACATTTGCATGCATTTGTTCTTTGACTTTTTCCTTTTAGAAAACTCAAATATTGGAAAGGTGTCTATCAATCTTGCCTTGTTCTTTTTCGTCTCTCAACTATGACTGGCCATTCTCAACTTTTCTCTGTATGTGTACATTTTCAGTTGTGTATGCTGACGATTTCTCATTCTCTCTTCAGTTGCAGGAGGGGTGACAAGTATGTGAATGCATGTCTTTGTCAAAATGTCTACTCGTGTTAAACGCTGTTAAAATATTGATGATAAAAGCAATGCTTATGATTTAGTGTTAAAAAAAAAATTATAATTTTTTCTTTTTTTTTTTCTTTTTTTTTTTTCTTTTGTTGCGACATTAAAATTAGTCTGATATATATCTTCTTGGTATTCCATTTTTTAATGCTTTTTCATTCATTTAAAACGTTTTCTTTATATTAAACCTGCAGTACTAGAAGAGATTTTATTTTCAATGAAAGCAGCTGTAGGTAAGGCCTATAAAAAGGAAAGTTTTTTTGTTTGTTTTTTTTTTTTTTACCAAGTAGTGTAATTCTTTCATTTTTCATTCCCAGCCTGATGGCAGCAGTCTAAACGTCTTTGAGTATCAAAAATAATCTATAATCCTTAAAGATTTTTGGCTGTGTAACTTGTGTGTCAAAAGTCTAAAATTAAATTTAAAATTTTAACTGTCAAAGGTCTCTTCCATTAGTATTTGGGGTGGGTGTTAAGCAGGTTTTCTCTCTTGACATGGCCACTTAGAAGAAAATTGCAAACAAACAACTGTAGAAGATTCATTTGCAATTAATATTAATCTGATCTGAATTGGGGAAAATGCATTATGGAAAGAAATTTGGTAGGGGAATGAACAAAGACTTAGGATAATGTTTAGCAGAGATTTCCTTTTTCTTTATAGATCAGTGGTTTGATTCCTTTACAATAGGTGTTTCAAGTCACTGTTTACCTGAATGATTGACTTCTGACCACTACTGTAACATGCTACAGAATCTTTTAATAAAAAGGACATCACTGTGAAAAATGTTAGTAATAAAAATGTCATCTTTGTCCATTTCACAAATGTTGAAAAAGCATCTATTCTAGAGGACCAAATATAAATTCTCTTGCTCTTTCTTGACATTTTTATTTGGCAGGTAGTAATGACAAATGAACATTCATATAGACTGTTGCCTACCGATTTATTCAGTTGATCGTGGTACTTCAGTGTCTCTATATTTTCAGTGGACATTTTGAATATGTTTTCTGTTAAACGAACACTTTTTCTTTTAAGTTGATATTCTTTAAGGGATGTTGCAAAGCTTACGCTCCCACTTGGTAAGATCTCAATCATTACTGTGTGTGACAAAATATTAACTCTAGGGAAGACCATTTAGCGTGAATAATCTTCAATTCTGCATTGGACTGGCTTGCATCCTAAACAGCTGGGTTTCCTCTGCTTATGTGCAGCAAACAGATAGAATTATTCAGAATTCTAATTTAGTTTGTCTTTTCAGGAAATAAATAATAAAACAAACAATTCTGTTGCTTTTTTAGCATCAATTCTTTTAAATCTTGATGCCTGTTCATTATCAGATAAAATAAATACTCAGTTAAAAAAAAAAAAAAATCTATGGAATACTGTTTTCATTCTTTCTCTCAGGATCTTTGTTTTATTATATATATATATATATATATATATATATATATCCCTAGAATGTTGAATAATGTATAAGTTAAATCTTAAATATTATTTTTACTTGATTTTCAGCAAGCTAGCTTTCTCTTTTCTCTTTCTGAAAACATTTGAACTAAATACCCCCCTTCAAATGATAGGGTTTCTTCTATTTAAAATGTTCTACTGTATTTTGTGAAATTTTCCTGTAAAATAAGGCAATCTCTTGCTGTATTAAGATTTGGCTTTCTAAATGAATAATTATACAAAAAGTATTTTAAAAATGCCTTGTAAACAAAAAAGATAGGCTTAACTTGCTTTTAGAATCAGGACTTGCATGCTTTAACATCTCTGCTACATTGATTATCTGCTGAAATCATCTAAAAAATTTTTTTTTCTGTAATTGGGGAGGGCGGAACTTAGCTATATCTATAGAAATCAGATCCGGATGTGACCTGAATTTAGATGAAAGTGTAATAATTATTTACTGAAACAAATTTTATCGTCAATTTTACCTCTCTCTTCACAGTACATGCAACTTGATATTAACCTTTTGGTAACTACTTTCATATTTTCTTTTAACTGTTCTTGAATGTTGGGATGTAAAGTCACAAACTTGTTGCAGACATTTGATCAACATACTCGTGGGAAAGCTGAAAAGTTCTCTGACCAAGAAGGGATTCCAAGAATTTTTTTCTTAAATCAGATCTTGGAAAATGTGTCATGCTGAGAACTTTTCAACACGCGCTTAGTATATTTTTGTTGCTAATTAGTTTCACTGTAAAATTCTAAATTAATAGAGAACTGTTTGGTTTGGTGCCTTGCAAGAGATCCCCAATTATTGGTGGGGTGGACATTTTGTAATTAGGATATAGATGCACAAAGATGCATTTTACTCTTAATGCTGTAAAGATGTCATGTCTCAATATATCTAAAACATTTACTATTGTAATTTATACAATTTACTTTTTAAACTTAATTCCTTAATGAATATTTTTCATGAATAGTTATATTGACTATGTGCATTGATCTACAATGAAAATTATATATGTGTGTGTGTGTGTGTGTGGCTGTTGAAAAGTTATTGGCTCAGCAAAGATTAAAAATAAAATTTCCATCAGGTTTTGGAAAATGAATTGGGCAAAGAACTTTTTAGTACCTATCTCTTCATAATTGATATAGTAGTCAAATGTTATTGAAAGTTCAATATATTTCTTTCAACCAACTTTTTGCAGATATGCTGTTCCTCTGTCAAATAAATCTATTGAATTATTACCAGATATAATATTTATACTCTAGATAAATAAATACTAATCATAGACTCTAAATAAATGATTCAGTATCTGTCTATATTTCCGAGATGAGGTATTATGTACACTATTTACATTATTCGGATTATTGTGCTCATCTTTGTTGCCATATTTATTACAACATTTTGACCGTTGTACGCTCCAGTCTTCAGGTGGTTGGGATGTCGAACTGAACCCTTTATTTTGCTCACTGGGGTAGTCTGTTCTAGTCCCACATGCCATGTTTAATGGATGTCAGTTATCTCCTGTTAATTCCCTTCTCCAAGTTCTCCACTGCCTTAACCGGGTATTGAACTCACACTCTTTGGGTCCTGTCACTGGGCCTAACTAACACCTTTATCCACCATGCCATGTGT